TTATGAAAAAGTAGAACACATGTCATTAAAACAAAACAGTATTGATAAAAACAATAGAAACAGACATGGAATGTAAATAAATGGAGACTTCAAACATAGTATACTACAGTTAGTATGCCCACCTTCCACACATCTTGTGCTGCATTGTTAGAGATGTGAACTGCTCCCAATATTCCACCGACAGCAACAGCAACAACAACAATGACAGCAACAGCAACAATGATGTACTTCTTGTGCGACGCCTTGATCTGAAATCAAAAGTTAATGTATGTTTCAGTCAACATGTTGAAAACATTTAATGATTCACAAGCATTTTAAGTAACTTCACATTATGTCTTTGTTTGCCTCGTAATTCTATAACCCCCTTTTCCAATTTCACGTGCATTTGAAGTAACTTTACGTAATGTCTTTGTTTGAAATTCGTTTGGCATTAATTCTCTATAACCCCTTTTCTCAAAAACAACATGTTAAGTCTAAAGAGGTTAATCAACTTGTTTTGTTTGGTAGCCCGTTTGAGGACTAAGAATCCTTTGCCTTGGTTTACTGGTACCTGTAAGATAACAGGAATTCGGTTCCCCACAACTACGGTGTCCGCATTATTTGTATATTTCACTCTTGACTTAATTTGGACGGTTCCGGACGGACATAATTTATAACGTGACCTTCAGCATCGTATGACAACATTTCCATACTTAAGAGTGCAATGTCTGTTTTATAGAATTTGTCTAAAAAAAGTCTTAAATGATAAATATTGGAGATTTCACTAGCTGTGCCAATTTTTCGTAGGTCGTCAGTAAAAAGCAGTATCTCTTTCGGGAAGAACTTATACCTTGTTACCAAAAGGGAGTCTGTTTTGCCGGTAAAAAGGCTATCTTGACCATTTAGAAGGGACTGGCTTGCCCGCTGCGCTGTACTAACTAACGCCCCCTAGAGTTTTTATGATGCCCAGCTCACAAGAGAGTTAGCGTCGATTTGACTGCTCATGTTAGCTGGTCAACTCACCACCCTGATAGGAAAAAGTTCACAATCTAAGTAAGAAGATCCAAATTTTTTTACATTGGAAAATTTGGGGTTCTTAACACTCCCATTTTTTCACACTCTCAAAAATTGGATTGCGTGTCCTTTCGTAAACATAAACAGTTTCCGGTCAGACCTTATGGACCAACAATGCATCAAGGTAACATTAACACAGCGAAGTCCGACGGAGGGGCGGGGGGGGGGGTCTCAGGTAGTAGGTGGGGGTGGGGGGATTGAGTAGCACGTACATACTTTTTGTAGTGGATATTTGCCTGGATAGCCTCATCCCCTGAAGAAGATAGTTTAGATAGACCTCAAAATGTTTGAGACAAACAGCGATCTCAAGTTTAAAGCTGGTGTTTATAGAACAAAATAATGTTTTTTTTATTTAACTTTATCATTAAATCTCTATATCATTCTTTCGATAAGTTTGCTTTTCGAACATCCTCGTTCCTATCACCCTTTTTTCGTAAATTCAAGTTTGCTGTATTTAAGAATATTTGAATATCTTTTTTTTTTCTTAAAGGGATAACAACTCTTTGTTGAGATCTATATTTCACAATAATTTTTTTCTATTTTACCACAAAAACGGCAGTTATAGCAATTATTCTGCAATCTGTGTTTGTCATCGGACCATGTGTCCTCCATAGATGGCTATATTTAGTAATAATCTTTTAAAAGATTATAAGAGATTATTACAAAAAAAAAGCTTTTTAGAAAAAAGCGAGGACTAACTTCGAATGTAGAAATGGATTCATTAACCATCAGTAAGTATGAAAAAATCATCATTTACCCCAGGATTTTTTTTTTTTTTTTTTTTTGCCAAAATGAATAGTTGTTATCCTTTTAACTTAGTATCCTTGCCACGTACCTCAGCGTCAGTTTGTCGAGGAGACGCACTATCCGTGACGACGGTAACGCTTGCGTCGGTCGACTTCTCGTTCACGGTTGGCAACATCTTGAAAACTCACCGGTGTCGTAATAACAAGAGAAAACCTTTGGAAATGATGACAAGGAAGATTTAATTTGTCTTTTATACCTGCCGAAGAATTGGCAACCAGCCAATTGTCTCGCAAACTTTGATACGTTTTGCTTACTCAATTTTCATTTCCAGGGACGACTTTACGAAGAACTGGATTTCATCTTATCCTTTAACGCGTTCATCGCTTGAAATCACGTAGCAAAATTTCAGTATGTAGTCAAGAATAAAGTCACAACGGTGATATTCTAATCAATTTTTTTTCAGATAACGCAACCGGGAAGTAGTGCTGTATTTACCAAGTTAATGTTAATGTAGCGAGAAAGCGTTTTAATATGTACTAGTATGATGTAATGGGTAAGTGTGCACACACAGTGGAGTGCAAAATACCCAGTATATGTTTGTTCTTTGGTTTGTTCTTTGTCTTTGTGATAAGAGAAGGGAAGGTCCCTTCTTCCAAGAACACAAACATTCCCATGTGTTTATCACATGTTGCAAACGCAGGTAGGTTTTGTACCAGTTTTTTTTTTTGGGAGAGAGGTCGTTGGTCGACCCAAAGGCCACAGAAACAAGCGCGGTATGCAATGACTTTATTTTGCTCCATTATGTGTTCATAATTTTTTTAAATTTCAGTTGCATACACAGCCATTTAAAGGCATGGAATAGTGTTTAACTAACTCCTCCGGAAGAGAAAATTAAAGTTAAAGACGAAGACATATGATACAAGGAGTATTTGGTGCCCTCCTAAAATTTCCTTTCACTTCTCCCTAAAAGTTTTTTCGATCAGCTCTTAAATCTGACATGCCAAAAACTTGTTTCTGTCCAGAACTGCATTTTACCGGTTCTCTAGTCGTCAACGACACCAGTTTACAGAGTGAAATATCTATTAAGTATTTTAAAAATACTTCACGTAATACCTAATATTTTCACATTACTGCCATCATGTTAATCCTTTCATCTTTATATTTAAAATAAGCTACACGGTCAGGACAATGGTTTCGTCTCGCTTATGTACGAGTCAAGGCATGATGTGATTGTAAAATGTTTAGTAAACCATGGGGCGGTAACATCCCAGTGTCCCCGTTAGCCTATACCCTTCTTCGGCCCATAGAAAGATCATTTAGTAGAGGCACATGCTGCATTGATTACGGTGCTTATATACATATCGCGTGCGTACTATCAGAAGTACACGCAGTTATATATGTTTAATGGAGTGAAAGGTGGTCCCCCCTCCCCGTCCTACTACATGTTGTACCACACGTCTTCCCCACCCCCATGGCAGAGTTAAAAAATTTGACCAGGAAGATACACAGGAGTTCTCATTCATTGATTTCATCTGCAGTGTGCAGGTCGCTCACGCTATTTTTAAAGCGATAAGAACTGTTACAGACTTAGTCATGTTACCAGGTGTTGGCGTTCACACCCTGTGTCAACAGACACTCAAATCCTCGTTATAGTGCGCGATCACAGGCAGGGCATATAGATATTTTCAGAGATTGTCGAAACAGGCAATTTTATTATAAAGAATGTAAAACCTGATTTTACCTCCGACAAGGAGGTTATGAATTCACCCCCGTAAGTCTGTTTGTTTGCTTGTTTTTGTTCATTTGTCACCGGCCTACAAAGCAACCCAAAACGGTTAAAGTGGACTTTCAGTTTCATGAGATGGATTAGACAGAAATGAGCTAGCTTAAAAGTGATTCGATTTTGGTAGTGATCCGTGATTAGGGTGCCCACTTGGACCAATCGCCATTACGAGATAGGGCCAATGACCTTGACCCGTTTTGCAACGAATGAGCTCTCAACTACCACAATATTGCTATTGGCTGCAACACACGTCAAGTTATTAATCTTGGAGGTACTATTCTATCCCCTTTTTGTTCTTATGATCGTAGATGTATGCTCGTTTTATAGGAATAGGCCTATACTTTGCTGTGACATTTGCTTAGATTTTTTAAAATGGAATATTTACTTGTAAATCATTGCGCCCTGGATTTGATCAGTAGTCATGCACGTAAGTCAATTTAAAAAAGGATAGGATGACTGCAGACGACAGAGATGGTCATAACTTCAATACACCTGCCGTGCGTCTGCCGCTTTCACAGCACATATTATAACACTCAAATCGTATTGTCCATCACGCCTTGGGGTTTATATACTACACACACTGGACAATAGAAGTGTCACCCCTACTGAACCAATACTTTGGGGGAGATAAATGACTGTGGAATGATATGCTCCTCGTATCATTTTATTAGCATCAAATTTCACAAAAGGACCAACAATACAATTCTATGTTACGGCGGTTTTATAACCATTAGTCACATTATAAGTAGACCAGGCATTATAACTTTGATTACTCTGATTCAAGGGGTGACACTTCTATTGTCCAGTGTGTGCACCGTATTATGTGTTCCACCGATGGCGTCATTTGGTTCTATTGTATGTATTGAGGTGAAAATGGTTTTATTAACTTGGGATTCACAACTGGGCGTCGTAATTACAGTTGAGGAAGACTGAATGGAATAAGTTTACCTGTACAATATAGGCATCCATTGTTCAACTACCTATGGGTTCCCCCAAAATTTTACGATGTTGCTCTAATTCACTGAAGAAACCAAATAATTGATTACCGTCAGGCTGCTTTAAAAAATCCTGGTAAGCGCTTGACCCTAGGCTGAGAAAAAATATTTGGGAAAGCAGCTGTTGAAGCCGCAATACTAACACAAGCGGATAAATAGTCTGTGGCACTCAGTAAGAAGCTCCCTGAAGGATGAGCAAGAGAGTGGGCAATGATCGATCGAGGGAAAGAAAGAGGCTTACGCTTCTTTTAAGATCACAAAAAGATTATTTTTCAAATATCTCGATGGGAAGGGGCAATTTCCACCTCCCTCGTCCTGCTGTATACGATCCTTAATTTTTAAATTAGAATTATCCTAGTACAATGGTATAACATGCAAAAATCTTTGAAAGATGTAATGAAATAATTCCCTTTCTGCCACAGGCCTATAAGAGATGCAGCAGCGACACAGACTGCTACGGCGGCAAAACTATGTGCTGCGTGCCCAATCGTTATGGTAGATGGTACTGCCGTTCTCGTGGACGCCAATACTCTATTTGTTCCATAAGTGGAAGCGCCAATCGATGTCCTTGTAGAGAAGGTACGACTGTCTTTGTTCTTTTCTTCGATTCCGTGCTTATAACAGTTTTTTTTCTTTTTAAATTACCGTTCCTTCCTTTGTTGTTATTTTTTATTTTATTATATAATTATTTTCATTATTATTACTTTCATATGTTAGTCTTCACTTTTGTCATGCATTCCACAATCGACAAATTATCCTATCTCAAAGAATGTATTGGAACCTGAGGTAGACGTATTCAAAGCTGACCTATCTCACAACTAAAGCTGCTTACCACCACTATTTCTCTATAGAAAGCCAATCGTAAAGAGTATATTGTTTCCTGGTAAAAGTGACTCTGTTTATTGACACATTTATTTGATTATTCCATTTGATAAAATTTAAGGTTTGGAATGCATCAGTGCTCGTGGCAACCAGTGGTTTGGCGGCCTCGCTGCTATTCTCGTCAACCCAGATAGCGGTCTGTGCAACACGATTAAGGTGACCACTGGCGGGTCTGGCGAATCCGGCGACGGTGACCTTTGAATCATGTGACTTTCTGGGATCAAGGTCAAGTTTAGGACCAATGATTGCGCCTATAGCTAGCCTCTGGACAACGCCCCAATTTGTGTATGTATCATCAAAGGGACTGCTGTTTAAGCAACTTATCTATATTTTATGAATATCTTTCATCGATGATAGTGATAGTTTTTTCCCAATAAAATTGCAAACGAGGACTAATGTGTTGGGACTATGTTGAGTTGTTTTATGAATTCATCTTAAACAGTGCAACACAAAGACTTTAGAAATATGGAATTCGAATATACAATGCATAGGGAAGTTTGCATAAATGAAAAAAAGGTCTATTTCATTTTTACCAATGTTTCATGAAGGTTTTAATTTTTTTGAACAGAACAGTGCACTCCAACCGTGAGATTGTTTCGGTGTTTTTTTTTTTCTTTGTACATTTTTCAGACTGACATGGCGTGAATTTGCACCGCTTTTATAATTTATCAATAAACGGGGCATTGTTAAATACAACAAGATGTGTACGTTTAACGCGCAAAATCCGAGAAATAAAAGATTTTTAGCCTGATGGAATCATCAAAAAATCTGTCTTATATTTTTTTCTCATTTGGGAAGCATAACACAGACACAGCTGGCAGCATCTTGAAGGATTTCCTGTCTCTAGAGCAGGTATCAAAAGAAGACAGGAAACCATAAACGGGAGAGAATCAACACCCTCCATACTTGGCGAAAACGCGCAAGTGCCTTGTTTTCATACCAATAGTATCTGATTTAATATAATTAAAGACTGAATGGTTTTACGACCTATTATGTAAATGTATTCATCCAGGCATTTTTTTAGTGTCCTTCTTTTCGTTTTATTGCCTCGGTATTTTACAGGTTGTAGATAGGCAACTGATGCAGTGCATGTGAAAATGAATATCATTTATCATATTGACGTTTAAAAAGCCTTCGAACAAATTAAATATGAATCAGCCACAATATATTAGCAATAAAAATCAATATTGATAATAGAAATAGAATAAAACCGCATGAAATACGTCGGCATCATGCTTCCTCACGTTTATTATTGATATGGCAAATGAGAGAGAGAGAGACAGAGAGAGAGAGAGAGCCGGGGTTAATCTACTCTGAAACAATGACATATGATAGATATGGTATATATTTATAATTTTGGAAGGAAAATTTTGCCTTGAGGCATTTACTCCACATGGATATCTTATGGAAGGGTATGCATGTGCATTTGAGTTATTTATAAAAATAACTTTCACTTAATTTGCCTTAAATCATGTGGAGGTGGCTCAGAGATAGCACTTATAAAATGAAGACCAAAACACACCGACAGCATAAGTGCATTGATTAACCGGTAAATAAGTTACAATAATGGTGCATCTATGAAGATCTACTAAAAGATGTAACGCCATATAATAACATATAAAACAAAATAGTAAATCTTATAGATTTACCGCAGAGCATTCATGGCAGCAAACACATGTGCCTAGATTGTCCTAGTAATTTGTTCTAAATGCTCCCCGCTTGAACATTTTACAGATTTTTCATAAAACCTTTAAAAGCAAAAATGTTTCCTTTTAATATCCAGATGTTAATTTTAATGGTTCGTTTCCACTTCCCCCTCCCCCAAGAAATAAGTGAAAATGTATTGAATCTAGAAAACGTTTTAAATCACCATAGGTAATTTCTGACAGAGCAGATGAAAAGGAAAGACGATATACTCACTTTTCACTTTAAAGTTAACAAGGAGTCATTTTGGTTCATTTCACAATGTGCTATTATATTATCATAACTTGGCCTCGCTTATATTCTCGATATTTAATAATAATAATAATAATAATAATAATTTATTAAGCCAATAAAATACAAATGTATAAAATCGGGAATCTTTTGCCCTGTAGTAGCGCCATTGAAATATAAAAAAATGAAAATTAAAATTACATGTTAGAGTTAAAAATAGTTACTGCCGAAGGATAAAAGCTATTTAAAAATCGCTTACTACCCTTAAAAGCTAAGAGTCTCGAATTGCTAGGTAAAAATTTAAAAAGGGTATGGGCTGGATGGGAACTGTCTGTCATTATTGATAATGTTTTCTTTTTAGTCCTGTCTAGATATATAGTATGGACGGGAGTTAGATCTGTTCCAATTACAATCCCTGCAGTTTCGACGATCTTTTCCAACTTGTTCCTCTCCTCCACAGTTGCACGTCCATACCAAACAGTTACTGAATAAGTTAAAATACTCTCTAAAACACACCTGTAAAAGTTCGTTAAAATAAACACATTTCTGGTAAAAGCTTTCAATTTCCTTAAGAAATACATTCGTTGACGTGCCTTTTTCAATAGCTTCGTGATGTTATCGCCCCAGGTTAACCTATTATTCAGCTGAACCCCTAGTAATTTATAATTAGAAACCTGTTCGACCGCTTTACCGTTAACTTCCAAGGGATTTTTACTTATCTGATTTCTTCTGAAGTCTATGATCATTTCTTTTGTTTTGCTCACATTTAATATCAAGTCATTGTCTGTGCACCAATTTACTAAACTTGTAACCGACTGCCTGTATGACATCTCATCATTATGGTGTATCAAGCCGACTATACAGCAAAGCTGAGGAATATACAGAGACCATACAGGACACAAGGAAGCATAGCTGACAAATGTTCAGACATTCAGACGCAAAAAAAGTGCACCAAATAATGTTTCGGCCAATTTTGATGCACTACTACATAATGCTTTGAAACAGCATAATCACTCTAATCCTCTTATATTGTGTACTACAGGTAACATGGACAATGAAAAACTAGCAAGTGATTCAGTTTCATGCCATGTTATAAAAGCAACTAAAAATGCTATTGTCTGAAAAATTAATATTCAAAAAAAAATAAATAAATAAAAAAAAGAAAAAAAAAGAAAAAAAAAGAAACAATGCCATAAATGCAAACCAATCATGCTGATTTTCGAGAGCCTTTTTACCAAACAAAGCTACTCAGTAAATTTAAAATAAAACAAAAATAAAGTTTGAAAGTTGTTGGGTGAACGTTACAAAATTTGTGCAAAAATCCAGAATAATTACTGTAAATGTAAACGGACAGTGCCAATTTTCGAAAGCAACTTGCTTCTTTGCCAAACAAAGCAACTCAGTAAATTTAAAGTAAAATAAAAATACAGTTTGGCAGTTATGGGGCGAACGCCATGTGTCAGACAGCGACAGCGACGGCAAGGACAGACAGACCAATCAGAATATATATAAAACCGAAAAAAAGAACGGTTTAATTTCCGTAAACAAATAAATCGATTTTAAAAGTTCTCAAACACAGCTATGAGCCTATGATAACTCAACAAAAGCACGAGGCATGTATTCTAATCTGTTTTATTAGGTAAATGCCACACAATCAGTAACTGTTACAAGTTTTCTTTGCTAATTTTGGTAAAACAGAACAGCGGGAAAATATCTGCATTGTATCCTCGACTTAAAAACTACTTGAATGAATATCTTTTTTTTTAAAACCCATTGTTTGTAGTTATCAGGCAATTATACAAAAATGTTTGCCAAACATTAAATAGTCTGCAGGTACCCAAGGTGTTGATGTACAGGTCTTGATCTGCAATTGTTAACTCTGGTCATATATGTTTTGGGGTATGTCACTACATGTGGTGATAGGGGGAAGTGAGAGAGAGAGACAGAGAGAAGAAGAAGTAGAAGAGAGAGAAGAAGAAGAAGAAAAAGGAGAAAAGAGAGAGATGGAGAGACAAAAGCCATTAAAAATAAATTTTCAGTAAACTCTTAAAGTAAACAAAATGATTTCTGACGTTTGGTGATGGCGTTCATTAATCGCACCTGTAACAGATACTCATAAAATACATCCAATAACAACGCCACTGTATGACATCTTGACTGCAAATGCGTCGTAAGCGCCAACAATGGTACCATGGGCATAGTGCTCGCTTCTGGCGATCACCTCCTGAAATATAATATAATATAATATAATATAATATAATATAATATAATATAATATAATATAATATAATATAATATAATAAGCGAAAATAGATCCAATAAGTACATGATTTTTATGCGTGTATAATTTCCCTTGCGCTCTATACTTCCCTAGCAAAAAATGTGACCCCTTAATTCAATGCATAAAGTGATACGGAGAATCTTGGCATGAACTAATAGTCTTGAAATCTGTAAGTTTTTTTTTCACATAAATCCACAGCTTGGTATATTGCAAAGTATCCTCAGGATTGGTGATTGTATCTTGACGCGTCTGTTCAAAAGTTTTGTCACGTTTGCGGATTGATGGCGTTCCACATACAGTTCAAAAGAAATGTAAGATCATTTTTGCTTGCAGGATTATATTTCTGTTATCCATTTTATCCACACATTCTCACTGAGTTTTGGAGCTAAGGATTGAGCTGGCCATGGGGGGGGGGGGGGGGGAGTATTTATACATGTATAACCAGCCTACAGTTGCATTGACCGTACATGGGGTAGCATTATCACGGTGAAACAAAACTGGGTATAGTCATGGTTCCCAAAGATATTCTAGATAAAATTTCTTAAGGTCCTTTCTAATAATTAGATGTATTGCTCTGTGTTGAGGTTCGTGTTTACCATGCAGTGTCAGCTCGCCTACACCATAGTTACCAATACATCGCATACCATTAATTATGTGGAGTGCGTCCTGTCGACCAGAGAAAGAAAATTGGGGGCTGATTTCCGAACCCTTACGCGTCCATCAGTTCTGACAACGCTGAACCTTCTTTAGCCTTAATCAAGCAACCTTACCGACGTGCCTGTTTGGTCATGATGTTGTTTAACCCTGTGAATGGTTCTCATGGTGCAATTCAACCATCTGGCAATTCGGTGGGTCAAATCTCCCTCTTATGTCGGCCACTTGGCCAAAAATGTATTGGAGCCGCATATTAAAACATAATTGGTGTTTGGGTATTTCAATGATCACGCTAAACAGTTTAATGTTCTATTACTCACATCCCCAATTTACACGATGGTTGGTTGACTATTTGTTATACTGTAGTTTATATGGGTAACCTTGCAGCAATGTACATAATGCAGTAGGGGTGATACTTTTTTGGTAAGGGAGTATACGTACAAAGCAAGAAGTGAAGTAACTGCATTAGCACTGCTGTGTGGGTAATTATTAACATGCCATATCTTTATCCTGTGCGTACCTGCCAGGGTTTGCGCTCTGGTACCATCTACAGTGTTGCCGTCCTTCTGAGTAAGCCAGTATGCCTCCAGATTCCTGCAGAATTCCTGCATTCTGGGACTTAGGAAGGTCTTGTCCTTGATCGGAGAAGTGTTGACAGCGAAGACCTTTTGATCATCGTCTTCGTCTGTTGTACTTTGGACGGCATTCTTAAATCATAATGTAAGGTTAAGTAAGCCCAGGTTATTAAATATTTGAATGGTTTCATTTTTAAAACTGGCTTTATTTCTAACACATTTTGACAATCTACTTTATGTTAATATGTAAGCACGCAATTAAAACTTGAACAGGCAATAAGTAAATCGTACCGGTTGTTCAAAAGCGCTGACCACGTCCTTGCTGTCAGTCTCTTCAGTTTTTGCCATTGGGGTCAAGTAACAAGCAAACTTGTTGTTCATTTCCATCTTATATATTACCAGGCTCTGAAACGATGCAAACAAAGCAATACATAGTCTCTGCAAATGGTGTTTGTAATAAAAGACCGTAGGCCAGACAAACTTAATCAGTTGGTTAACAAGCATGTTTGACTTTAATTATGAGGGAATCAGAATTTTTGCAAAACGCATTGTACTAAGTTAATAGGCAAATAAATAATAAAAATTGCATTTTTTGTCTCTAACTGTACAGAGATTACCGTTAATCTAATGCTTATTACAGTTGTAATATTAAGGTGGTGTAATATTAGAGTAATGTAATATAAGGGTAGGGTAGATCTCAAAAATATTCCATAACAGGCGTGACAACATTTGATGCTGAATAGAATGCTGACAACCGTTTATTTCTACAAAAAATATTTAGGTAGGTAAATTGACAATTTTCAAAATGGCAGTCAAATGCTCTACTTAGTTTCATCAACAACAATTAAAGATACTAGAGTGTATCATTTATATGCTAAATATATCATATAAATTTTAGGGTTGTACATTTAGAATCCATGTCTGATGCTAGCACTGTGATTAGTATATTTAAGAGTGAGTTCAGTTACCATGTGAGGTGACAGTTTACTGTCAAACTAGAACGAAGGACTAGAATCTTTGATTATGGAGACAATGGACCACCTTAATCATCTTGGTTAGGCAAAATGAATAGTAATGAAATATCTCAACAGCTGTTGGATCTCAGCTAAAGGGTTTCTTTTACGTATAGTACAAGTAGATTAAGTCATATGTACTGTTGTGTAACTTTTCTAAATTAAGCTGGAACCGCCTCTACTCACTCTCGAGTTGTCCATGGCAACGTGGAACTTCTCGTTGTTCACGTTGTACACGGTGATGTTGTCCTTCAGATCAACCTGTACCTTTTCGTCAATTTTCTTTCCTTGCTTGTCAGTTAAACGAAGATGGTACTCCTGAAGTAAAAAACAACGCCGTTGGAAAACCACATACGGCAATGAGGAGATTTTTCGTCTCAATCGACTGTTTCTATATTGGCATTTGCTGTATAGTTTTCCCGATTAACTTTGAAAGAAACAGATAAACCATGCAGTCAAAACCAGCCACGTAAGTGCTGGCCGTCTGATAATTTTTATCTACTACGCTCATATCCTGTGGTCCATTTGTGTCATATAAGATAATCAATAACATTTTAAAGTATTCCATTTCTTTCTTAATATTTTGATACAATATACCCACCTTCCATACATCCTGTACTGCCTTGTTAGAGATGTGAACTGCTCCCAACGTTCCACCGACAGCAACAGCAACAACAACAATGACAGCAACAGCAACAATGATGTATTTCTTGTACGACGCTTTGACCTAAAATGTGTCAGAGTTAAAAATAAATAGGACCTAAATGTAAATTAAATTAAAAAAATAATTAGTTTTTAGGGGCGTTCTGCATTGTGAAGTATCCTTCTAGGAATTCATACGTAATACATAAGATGATTTAAATATATTTCGAAGAAACTGTAAAAGCAGCTATGATAACTAATCATTTTTAACATTGGTGAAAGACAAAATTGGCAAATTTAAAAGCTTCCAGAAAATCCACGAGTATCTGAAATAGTGAAAATTTAAATTAACGGAAAGCAGCATTGTTCGTTTTTCTATTTGATTGTTTATCTACAAACATGTGAACATATATTTTAAAAATAATCCTCAAGTATAAAGATAGTTTTAACTTATTTGTTTGAAGAATTTGTTTTCTAATATTTTGTCATTCCTTTCTTCGTTTGTATTTTAGGGGAAAAAAATGAACGGTATCCTCAGTAAATTATTTGAGAGATTGCAAAATGTTACATTTTTTTTTATTTCTTAAATGAGATCCTCCATTGCCAGTATGACCATTTGGCTAAAACTTGAGCACTATGTCTGTAAGTATGATTAAACAGCTGAATAAACAAAATTTTATAAAGATTCTATCTATTGCGATGGTTGCAAATTAAAAATAGACAAGATTATTGTTTACTCATTTCCTAGATTTAAGGCCTAAGCAACGTTCGGCTTTAAATATTTAAGATACAAATACAGGCACATCATGCATCACTCATTTTACATCATTGCATGGTTCAAAACGCCTAGCAAACCTGTATAATGCTTGGTTATTTCTGGCCTTAACACCTTTACATTGGGTACACTTACTTCGGCGCTGTCACTTCGGGAGAATCCGCCTTCCGTAATTACAGTCATTCCGGGCTCTGCAGATTTTTCATTTACCGTTGGCAGCATCTTGAAAAAAGTTACCAAACAAGTTCTTCCTTCTCCAGGTAGAGGGAGAGCGCAGTTTGATCCGTGTTGGGCGCACATCCCTCTTTATGGACCCTATCTTGTTTGAAAATTCACCATACGTAATGTTGATTTTACATATGAGGAAAAACGCCTTCCAAGAAAATAAAGCCATTTCCGTTTGTTTATCGACCACAAAACTGCGAGCCTTGTTTTTACGAGAAAAAGTTGTATATAAGATGAGGGGCAAATATCCAAGCAAAGATAGCGTGTGATTTCTCGATATTCCCGGCTAAATATGAACCCTTCAGTACTGATGATAACAAATATGTAATTACCCAGGTCGAAACGAACTGCAACAGATTACACACTGAAACCCGCTCCTAAGTGCCGGGAGAAAGCAAATACCCCCCTCCACCCCCAACCCCGTCCTTTTCATCCAGATTACTAATATGAGACCCGCAACGTCATTCTAATTGCTAAATCAATGATATTCTCTTAACGGTCCCACCACCACCAGCCACTGTGCCATGAATATTTAACTAGCCCTATTAAACTAGAGCTGTCTGGATATTTATAAGTCTTTCGAATTCTATTTAGCAGCCTGGGTGATTAACTTTAAAATGTAAACAGCTTAATGGCTAAATTAAAAAAAAAAACATAGATTACTTGAATATGTCATGTACACTGGTTTACTGGTTGGAGATATTATTTTGTAGGTAGAGCTTATTTGGGAGATCGTTGCGGGTGAAGGCTATAATAATCATTAGAAGTAAGAATTAATACGGGGAAAATGTGAAACAATTTTTAGTTAAAATATTAATAATAAAAACAGCGATATATATTTAAAAATGTAATAATTTGCGTTCCCCATCTTTTTCAAAAGTCTGATGTTTATAAAACCATCAGAGCACGTTTTCTATATTTTTCTCGTAGGGGAACATGGTAAAGGTGCATAGGTTCGACTTTTTTCGGTAATTAGTCATATATGGCAGCATCTGTGTATTTCACTTAAGCAGGTATCAAACGAAGCCAGGTAACCATAAAAGGGAGAGAATTTATACCCCTCAGTACTTGGCAAAAGCGCGCACTTGTTTTTATAGAATCTGATTTAGCATAATTAAAAACTGAATAGTTTTACGACATATTTGTGTAAATGCAACCATCCAGGGATTATTTTCAGTAGTAATGTTTTACGTTTTATTGCCTAAGTATTTAACAGGATGTAGGTAATCGACAGCTACAGTGTAAGTGAAAATGAATATCATTAATCCGATTGACGTTTAAATAGCCTCAAAAAAACTACCTGTAAATGTAAATAAGCCGCAAGAGATTAACAATGAAAATCAGCATTGAATAAACAGTAATCGAATGTAACAGAATGAAATGTATCGGCATCATGTTTCCTTGCGTTTATTATTAATACGGCAAATAGGAAAGAGAGAGGGAGGGGGACATACACTTGGCAAATAATAAATGGCATATAATAATTATCACCCTTGGAAGGAAAATTTTACCTTAAGGCATTTATTTTACTTCAAATATGTTTCATGGAAGGACATGCATACACATACAATCTGTTTATAAAAATTAATTTCACTCAATTCGTCTCACGTTGCATGGAGATTAATGGGAACACCTCAGAAAATGACGCCCAAGACACACAACTTTACACATTATATCTCAATAGCACTGTCGTCACAGGTGCATTGATAAAGCAGCTCTCTCCCCAAGATTATGACTAATTTTGCTATATCCCTCTTCGATTTTGCCCTGAAGTGCGAGGTGATTACAGATATCATATGTGCATTTATAACTTTTTAATTTATTTTCGATTTAATGGGTTACAGCATATCTAACCAAATTTGAAGGAAAATATAAATAATAATTATAATAATGATTATGATTATATGTCATGTTTAATCCTATGCATTAATCGAAGAGTTTTTCCTTACAGCACACACGTTCATAGTTCGTCTTCCTAATTTATTCTAAATGCTCTCTGCTTGAGCATTTATAAATTAAATATATTAAAAGCAAACAAGTTTCCTTTTAATGTCTACGTGGCAATTAAAAGGGTACGTTTCCACTCCTCCCAGTGAAGATGAATTGAATCTAGAAATCACTCTGGACCACCATATCGTAGGTAATGTACATGTCCGGCAGAGCAGACGAAAAAGAAAGCCTAAATACTTCTCTTTCTCACTTTAAAGCTATCAGGAAATCGTTTCTCAATGTGTTTTTATTTTTATTTGGCTTCGCGCTTCCTCGATGTTTAAAACCGAAGAAAAGTACTTCTGCCATCCAACAGGAAATAATTTCTGTTCATTTCACAATGTACTTTTATCGTTACTTCGCTTTGTGCATCCTCGATATTTAAAAACCGACGAAAAGAACGATTTGGTTTTGTAAATAAGTGAATCGTTCCTAAATAAGACTAAAGGAGCAAGGTGTTTCAACATGTCATTACATTTCTAACAAGTGGCAGGGTGGAAACAGCATACCTCATAATACGCTAAAAGTCTCTTTTAAAACGATTTACTTTATACCGCAATTACACAAAAAAGTCATGCAATTATATTTTACCGACCACAAATGAGTAAAAGTCGACAAACGCAACTATAAATCTTTGATAATAACTCAACAAAAACATATTATTACTTTTTACCTCTTTTATTAGGTAAATGCCAAACAATCAGTAACTGTCACAAACTTTATTTGCTTATTTTTGCAAAATGAGTAGCGAGGAAAATCTGAATTGTATCCCTGACTATAAAACTACTTAAATGAACATTGCTTTTTATGCCTCAATGTTTACAACTTATCATTTAATCATTCAATAAAGCTTGCCAAACAATTCATACTCTTCAGGTAGCCGTAGTGTCGTGCAATGTCAAGTAGATTCTAGTGTGTGTCACTCTGTGTGTGTGTGTGTGTGTGTGTGTGTGTGCGTGTGACAGAGAGAGATAGAGAGAGAGAAAGAGAAGCCGGAAATAATTATCCAGCTCAGCTGATCGAGGTTTGCACTAAAAAAGTAAGCTAATTGATGCTACTGACATTTCGCGATAATGTTTATTAATGGCACTTGTGGCACCACCCCAAAAATGGAAGCCGAAAGCAAATACGTATACACTTTTTACAAATTTTACAACGGATACATCTGCAAATGCGCCGCCACCTCAGGCAACGATATCGATACCAATGGCAGCCTCGCTTTTGACGATGAACTCCTGAAATATAATATAATATAATATAATATAATATAATATAATATAATATAATATAACGTGAAGGAATCAAGATGAAATGTACCTGCAATTTATACTGTGTGTCCTAGGCGTCTTAATACAAAGTAAGAAAGAAATCTCATGTCACTGCAATACCGGTAAATTTCAGAGATTTTTCTGGTGCATACCTGCCGTGGCTCGAGTGTTGGCGCCATCTACAGTATTGTCGTCCTTCTGAGTGAGCCAGTATGCCTCCAGATTCCTGCAGAATTCCTTCATCCTGGGACTTAGGAAGGACTTGTTCTTGATCGGCGAAGTGTTGGCAACAAATTGCCTGTGGTCACCATCGGTATTTTCATCATCGTCATCCGCTGTACTTTCATTCTAAAGTCAAAATGAAAAGTTAAGTGAGTTCTAGTTATTCGAAGCTTGCGTGGTTTTCATTTTTAAAACTAACTTGATATTTTTGAATAAAATTCAATACAAGGTGCATCTAAAGATGTCAACACAAATTGAAAATCTGCATGGATATACAAAGTAAATTGTTCCGATTGCTCCATTAGCCCTGAGCACATTCTTAAATATAACTTCACATTTTTAAACACAATCAATAGTAACGTTAATGTAAAATTTAAACAAAAAGACTGAATAAATATAAAGTTAGTCGTACTGGTTGTTCCAAAGCGTTGGCCACGTCCTTGCTGTCAGTCTCTTCAGATTTGTTCATTGGAGTCAAGTAACAAGCAAACTTGTTGTTCATTTCCATCTTGTATACTACCAGACTCTGAAATGATGAAATCTGCATATGATAGTTTGAAAACAAAGACTTTTAGGGTCAGGCAAACTTGATAAGCTGGTCAAGGAGAACGCCTGGCTTATATTAATTAAAAATGCAACATTTTAAAATTTTGGTAACTGGGCAAATTTTGCAATAAGCCCATGTAAGACTTTAATGTTTTGTTTTTACACTTTTTCTTTAATTGCTTACAAAAAAAAAAAAAAAAAAAAAAAAAAAAAAAAAAAAAAAAAAAATCA